TAGCTAAAGCGTGCAATCGAGGTGTTCGTGTTTAGGTTCTGATTAATAGAGCAGCAATAATTAACTTGGATTGCAGGTAATAAGACTTACGACTTTCTCTAGTTCAAAGATCTTATTTATTACTAATTTGGATCATATTGCCTAATTTTTTTATGAATATCATGATGGGATGAATAAGTTGCTGTGTCACTTCGTGCTTTAAATAAAAAGATCTGAGGAGTACTGACACTACGCTCGTTATGCTGAGACATATTGTTGATAAGTCCCATGTGCCTGTAGTTTCCTTACTCTTCAAAAACGGAACGCATAATGCTTACCTATTTCTACCGCCAAGCAGTAATGTGAACATCACTGTCTTCCGGTTTTGAATGATATAAGGGTGCTGGTGAAATTAAAAGCACATGAGACTTGTGAACTTATGGTTCTGGGTGATAGGCGTAGTGGCAGTGTCCCTCTGGCCTTTGCGATTTGTAGCTCCTGCACTGCATTGCTATGGACTTGTTCATCCCGTCACTTTGTAACATCAAAAAAAAAGGATTGGCGGCAGAAATACGTGAAATGGCAGTACTTCCCCAGACTAACTCTTTCACAATGAACTCTACTGCTAGTAAAATTATTATTTTTTTAAATAACGCACACACTCAACATAGCCCCGCACTAGGAAAACCCTGTGTTGCGGGTGCCATGGACACACACGTAGACAACCACAAATTACACCCAAACTCACGAGAGAAATAATTGTGAGCCATACAACAATTTCTCCCGGCCCGGGAATCGAACCTGGGACCTCTGCGTGGCAGTCCGGCATGGTAACCGTTTGGCCACAGAGGCAGTTTATTTTATATATAATTTATTTTATACAAACCTTAAAATGTATATATAAAACATTCCAGTGGCAAACAATTGGTATATATTTTCCTCTCCCGTCTTGAACTGTTACGGGAAACATGTTAGGTAGTTTAACTTTTCCAATTCGCATTCACAAGACGTTTACCCTCTAAAACAACTTTCAAGGACATGGAGCTCGTAAAAAACTACACACATTACCTTAAAAGCAGAGGCTGTAAAGAAAATTTTTTTTCTGACAAATGGCAGCATAGGAATTTGGAAGCCATTAGGAGAGTAGATTGGAACGATGGCACGTAGATTACGGCCGAAGGCAAGAGGATATTAAATCGATCATAGAATCGATAAAGAACAAAACGAACTATTATCGATTAGCTCCACTTCCTGCTTTTAATCAAATTTGAATACGCCGAAGTGTTTATAATGCGGTGTGGAATATCTATATAATGTGTTTTTGTGATCGCGTCATTAAAGATATCAATGAGCTTTGCGATTGTGAGAATAATGGATTTATGATCAAGGACGCTATTCGAGCTAAAAGATAAATGTAAGTACTTATGGAAAATGAGTCTCCAGCGGCGTTGCAAGTCTCGACAAGGGTTTTCAATTATAATGAATAAAAGAAGGGTTTGTGTAAACTTAACAGGGTTTTGTTGCATTGTATTCTCAAAAATTGAGTAGACAATTGTCGCATGTGTTATATCGTTTACACTTGTTGTCCGGGTGTATTAAACAGCAATTGTGTAGTTAGCATGTTTTTTTTATTACATCGTCTCGTATTTCGCAGCTTTACGAGACAGAATATGAAGAATGACTCATTTGTAAATGAATTCTCCATGCCATTGTCCCGGCTAACGAACTCAGAAAAGTTATAGAACATTAAAATTAAACAAGTTTACGGCATACATTATTTGGCATGACCTCATCACACTAATAAGCCTATTCACATGTTCAAATCTTCCACTAGAATTGCAAATGAAGGACGCACCCAAATGGCAATAATTTGTCGCTCAGTACATAGGATTATTGGTTGACGCATTTCACATACTGAGTGAGTGGAATCAATAGTACACTAGTAAGAACAATAGACTTTGAAATGTAAAAGATACTTATTAGAAATATCAAGAACGTGATATAAGTTAGTGAGACACCACAGTTATTAAAGCGAAATCGGCTTGAGCCGATCGGAAACAGATGTATATCAATTAAATAATAGCGAAAAAAGCGTGCTTTTTGGTGGCTTGCGATTCTGTGTCGAGGTTTAGAAACTAAGGAAATATTTCTTAAATAAACACCTGTATTTATAAGCCAATTGACAGAGATGATAAAAGTTTAAGAGCAAAATATAACACTTATTTCATACCCAGAGCAGGCAGGTAGCAATAATGAAAACTTCCTTACATATCATACAAACATTAACAAATTTCATCAAACCCGCCAATAAAGTGAATAAACTACATAAATTTCCAATATAAACGCGAATTTGTGTATTTACATATGTAACTCGGTGAGTCACTGTACGTGACTGTACTTGGAACAGCGTGTGACAGTAGGGCCCACAGACAGTCGCGTACAAAATTGATTTGGTTGGATATTCCCAAATCTGCGATCCTTCACGGTTTTGCTAGATAGAATACAAATGCCTGCAATAACTTATTTGGTTTGTTGACGGCTGTGAGTGTTTATTTCTTTATTTGGCTGCCGTTGAAACAGTGAGTTAATATAATTAGTATTAGGTAATTTGTATGTGTTTTCAGGGTTATTATCTACCGAATTATGTTGAGAATGTACATAATTGCTTCACAAAGTTTCCGCTCTGACAGGAAGAATGCTTTGTAAAAGCGATCATGGAAGTTGATAAATGAAAGTCGCTTGAGACTTTATTATCATTTGCACATTCCTCGTCCTTATTGCGAGTTCATGCCCCAAAAATTAACTCTTGACGTTAATTTATTTGCTCAGCTCCTTCGGCGGAGAGCTCTGCTCTTATTTAAGTAAAGGTGCAATATTAAAACCGGAGCAATCATTTCTCTAGACAATTGTATTTAAGGGATTCCGTATAGCTTGGCCATTTGTTATGTTAGGCAAAGGATTAAACTTGTACGACTTTAAAAGGATCTATAATGCCATTTGTCTCTGAAACCCTTTTTAAAGGCAGACGCGATGAAAAGAGTCCTTATAAGTGTGATTTCTCAGACTCTTGGATATTTATAAATAGGTGTCCTACTGCATGTCTTTTATTATGGTTTTTAACACGCGTCTATACTATTAAAACACGTGGTATACTTTATTCTAATATTTGTTATCAGATACAACAATAAAAGTACTCGTGTTAACCGAACGTGTTAAATTAAAAACAGATTACAAATGGATGTCCTATCTATTCATCGCTTGCAACATAACAATGATCTGAGATCAAAATACTTTCTTACCAAGTCTGGAAACGTTCTTTATAAAGGAACAACGTGCAATGGAATACGCGGCTTATCATGTATGCATCCCATTAAAACTTTTCAGACCTTCGTCCAATTGTTATTCACGTATGTCTGAGGAAAACGTGGTTTATGTTTGGAACTTTGTTCTGGAAGTACGGAAATTACATAAAATACAAATAGGTATCGCAACTAACTCAATCTCGATAAACCATAAAATACTTAGTTATGGAAATTATTTATAAAGTTTCTTAAACAGACTTATTTGCAATATGAAAGATTTTTTCATTATTATTTGCATCAATCACATTAATTTAATGAAATTAATTTTATTCACAAACATACTAGAAGATAACAAGGTAACAACTTGAAATTCAAAACTACTGAATATATTTTGTCAATTGTGATATTGTAAACGGAAGTTGCAAACAAAGCAAATGTACCTACACAAAGTTTCATTAGACGACAAAGACAGCCTCCAACAATCTAACATCTGGAATAAATTTAACTAGGGGACGTGGATCAGTGTGCAAACATTACTCCGTTAGCGATTTGGAAAACTTCCTCAAGTTGTTGGTTTTACAACTTAGTCGGCTGTAAACTTCTGTGGTTGGCTAAAAATAAGAGCAGGAAAACGCAAGAAAAAAAAGTCAGAGCCACAATAATGTGTTATAAACAAGTACCTAAACAAAGCGTTTCAAATGCTAATTATATATACAACGAGATATAAATCTTAAAACATTGTCTTACCAAGATATTTACGGACTCCCTAATCTCTTGGCAACTAACACTTTATTAAACACGAGACACGAGCCATAAAGAAGTCAAACGCGAAATAAAACAATGGAAAAACAGAAAAAGTTAGATTGATTTTGATTGTAGAAAAAGAAGAAACAGTAACAAACAGAGCGAGCGTAATGTAGCAAAACGGCTAATGACGTGCATTATCTCAGTTTAGAGCGGAGAGACAACGATGGTGTCAGCGTCACGGTTGGGTTGGTGGGACGTTGACGTTACGAAAACCGCAGACCATTGTCTTCTAACCACGGAAAAAATAAAAACCTATTCTAACAAGAGCACTTAAAACTCGAACCTGTTTCAGGTCGTATATCTCATCGTTCCGCAAATGGACTACATGAGTGGTTTATGTTAGATATTATTGTACATAAAGGCCAGAGAGATCAAAGTTGTTTAAACAATTTCATATTTAAAAATATATCTCAGAATTATTATTGTTCAATGCAAGTACGTAGACGAACTATTCTTAACAAAGACAAAACAATTTAGAGTAAGTGTAATTGCTCTGTCGCAAAGTAAGAGATTGCTTTAATAATTTTCATTAAAACACTCATCCTTTTTTATTATTTCATTTTCATTACATGCTCAAAGATAATTCAAATAGTATTTGATAGTCGTATCGATTCACAATTGCACGTGAACAAGTTCATGTTATAAGCTAATAAAATGTAGATTCAGAACGATATTCTATCTAGAAGCAAAACGTAGTGTTTTGCAAAGAAATAAAATATGGTAGCTGATTAAAATATACGGGGTTATTGCAAGTCGGACAAACAAATAAACATTAAAGATTTACAATTTGTTTTATGGCAGTGGATTAGCAGTAGAGAAATTAGTCAACTTAGACCATCACCGCCGGAGTCGGGTACAATGGCATCTTTGAACAAAAAACCGACAATTGGGAAAAATATCTCTGTTACTCACCAAAACTCGAGCGTTGCCATTCCTGTCGTCCACCCAAGCGACAACCAAATCTGCACCTCTCATATTCCGCGCAGAATTAAATCCTATCCCAACATAACCTCGCGTTCTTGCTTCTAGTCTAAATGTTATACTAGTATCTGAATTCACCCATCGAAGAACTACATCACCATTTACGTCTAATCTTTCCGAATGCGCCCATGTTAAGCTCGATTCGTAAGATTCTGAATCGAACACTGAAGACAGTATTTCTCGTCGATTTCTTTTGTACTGATTGACTATTCGACTAGTCTTTTCATTTTTAGATTCTACTTGTAATGGACGTAAAGCTTGTGAGTTTTGTGAGGGATTTGGTGATAATTCATTTGGTTGATGGAAGTATTGTTTTCTTGGTAGTTTTGCATCACATATTAGTATGGCGCCTAGCGTTAAAACTGTTTGTAAATGCATTTTCTCGCCTGTACTCAGTGCTTCTGCCTCATTACTTTTTATACATCTGTAACAATAAAAAAAACAATGTTATACAAGAAACAATGTTAACAACACGTTACTTGAAATGGTTATTGTACCTCGGCATGCATACAAATAGAAATAAAGAAAAGGAATTTTTTTGCTTCTGGAAAAACGACTTATTGAATTTGAATCACGTGGTTGAAAAAACAGGTGTTGTTTCCGCAAGTTCTTAGCTTTGTAGTGAACTAGTTTTTACATTACCGTTTAATTAATTTCGTCTAAAAATTTAATACAAATATTTAACACGAAGCCGTAATAAAAAGCAAACGTATTCGTGGAACAACTTTCAAAGATTTGGATATTACACTGTAAAGTGTGACACACATTGCCCTGGATACCAATATTACAGAAAAATTGTAACGAATTCAGAAAAGTTCTGCTTGACATGCGACATGACAAATATAAGCCTTTGAGACTACTAAACTTATTTAATTTCTGATATTGAGCTATGTCAAATGCGTCTAAAATTTTGTATGACATCAAAGTCATAAAATTATTACGATAGTTAGCTAAAACAAATAGGAGGGGTTACGATTTAATTGATAACACTCACTTTGGTCACTCTTTGATGTTTATAGTTCGGGCGTGTCAACGGGCTTTTAAAACGTTTTTATAACTTTATTCATGGAATTAGGTGTCACTGACAATCATGGTAAAGTAGCAGTCACAGACATAGTGACGATTTTCTTTCTTGGAAATTCTTTGTTTCATGAACCTCACAAAAAACTATTGCGAAATGATCCTTTTAGAGAAACGCGTTTAATTTTGTGAAAACCAACGAAATATTCACTGAATAGTTTAGTTTTTAAAAACAAAATAACATTTTGAATTATTGAATATGCAATTGGAAACAGATTCACGCCCCGTGACTACAAGATGTACGAATACATAATATGCAAATTAAAATTACCTTCCATATTTTTTACTTTAAAATCCGTAGCGAAATTTACTAAACGTAAATTATATTACCTCTATAGACGCTACTATTAGGCAACCAGACAATCGGAAATGTAGCGCAATTCCCACATAAGACAAAAATTTTGATGCAGAAAAAGTATTTAAAAAAACATAGGTAGGGTACGTGTGAGAATTTCGATTTGGGCAAAAAATCGGATGCGCCATCTGTGCCCGGAGGCGTCGTGGATCGCGTATTTGCGAGCGAATATCTGAATAAATCATACGAATACTCTTTCGCCTTTTTCTTTTAAAATTAAAATTTAAAAGGACACTGAGGAGTACGAATCTCAGCCGCATAAGAAAAGAGTCGTTTCTTTTCAGACCTTTACGGCTTTAACGTGGTTTGTGTTATGCATGACGCGGTTGTCGCTTAGAAGCGTTTCCTCTCCTAAATAAAGTTATTTCAAAATACCTTTGTCTTAATTGCATATCACTTTTAATATGATATCCTTATTAATCGGCTTCAACCCGTCTTTGTTGGCGTGACTCGTGGTAACTACTTTGCAGATAATAGGATAACTGTGAGTTAATCTCAGCATACATTTTTAAAGACAATCCGTAATAAAATCATTGATTTTAAGCAGGCCTTGTAAAGAATACCAAGATATTACACAGAAAAACTATCCCATTTTTTCAGCGAGTTCACTGCCTTCCCGAGCGAATGGAAAGAACACCAACAGCCAATTGGTGTCCCCGAGCAAAACAAGGTAACAAATAATCGTCCAATTATTGTGAGGAAGTCAAAACCGCGATAGTACTCACTGTAAAACAATCGAAGCGTAATATTTTTATTGTTGTACTTTTAAACTGTCTTTAAAACCTTTCGAAACTGCAAAACTGTAGGTATTTTGTTCCGAACGTGAAAGGCACTACGTATGATATGTATATGTATGTACTCGTATTGCATTCTAAATTAGCTCCAAAAGTGCTCCGTCCTACTTTACACAGGTCAGATTTTGTTTTAATTAATATTTTCTGCACATATAATTACAACGATGTTGTGGTTTCCTCAATCAAATTAGCTTTGAATTCTATAAAGATTTTTGAGAAATCACTACTACCTCATAGCACTTAACTGACCATTGGACCAAAAAGAAAAAAAAAGGTTAACCACAATCTCAGAAGGATGTGCGACATTGCCGCAAAAAATTGAAGTCGTTGTTTTCTAATAAGCGAAGTTATGGACTCTGGTTCCTCGTTATTTAAGTGTTAAACTTACGTACTGGCTGGTGTTTAGTGGCGTCCAGTACCTACTTATTTGCAAGTCTTAGGCACCACCGCGTCGTAGCAAGTGATCAAAAGATTATGGCTGATTTTACGAGTACTTTTTTGAAACCGCAAGTCAAGTGCCGTGTTCAGCCATGAAGTATCAAAATTTTCTTCATTTTAATCGTTATAATTTTACATAACAATAATTACTTAAACAAGAATAACAAGTAAGGTCATAGCCATCATCATTTCATGATGGTTTATTAAAATAGGTAGTATGGCAGATTTGTAGACATAAATTAAAATGTTTTCTCTCACAAAAAAATAAGATTAAAATTATTAGTTTCTATAACCTGAATTCGAAATTCCGTTTAATTATTTAATACACAAAATAGCAACAAACTTCGTTTGTGTGAAACGCGTTTTTAGGACGATTCTCATAGGAAGATGACTCAGTAGCTTCCTTTATCACTCACGATCATAGCCTCGACCTCCTTATAGCCACGGAAGAAAAAAAAACAATGGAAGGGCCTTAAACCTGGACAACTATCAGAAACGCTGTGGCCTAAACTCACACTATCAAATAAAGGGTAAACACTACGAAATTTTGATAATGAGTGCTCGTAGCTTCTAATATAAAAAGTTACAAATTCTGGCCTGTTAATATAATTTAAACTTTAACCAGTTGGCAAATCGTTAAAATTTGTAAGTTGACACATTATGATTTTATATTTAAATTTATTCATTGTGCTACCATCTAGCGGCAAAAGCTGAAATACGACGAACGATTTACGCCTATTAACGTTCTCCGAAAAGTCAACCATATTGCAGCGGAATAAGTTTACTTTCGTTTCTTGTACCAAAAAATCGATTACGATAAACAGAAAATGGAAAATTTATTAAAATAAAATAAGACTTAACGACGATATGAAATACCGCCATGGATAATAATTACAGGTGCGGTTATCATTTTTCTACTCCAAAGTAGGTAAGGCAACTTTACACGATTTTCGAGGTTTTGCACACGATAATTAACAAGAACATAACGTACAATCGCAAAAGACCAATGTGTCTTGGCGTGGAGATCAAATGTCGGATAAAACAAGCATGTAACGCATTTCTAAAGTTGAGTCATCTACTCTGCAATCTATCGATTGAAGATCTCTACCAGGGTGCGTTTGGCACCTTGTTACGTGTTTTCGGTTTTTCTGTATGGCGTAGAGTCCTGGACATTAACTCAAAATATAAACAACTGCTTAGAAACCTTTGAAATGTGGGTCTACCGAAAATTTTAAAAATATCGTGGACGGATAGGTGTCCAATGAAAGAGTATTGCAGATGATGAATAAGAAATTAGAGGTCTTGATTACTGTCAAAACGCAAACTACAGTACTTTAATCATATAATGCGTAACGATAAACACAACCTACTCCGACTAATTATACAAGGAAAGATACAGGGAAAGTGACCACCCGGTAAAAGGCATACTACGTGGCTTCTCCGGAATCTCCGGACATGGTTCAACGTGAGCACAAGATCTTTGTTCCGTGCAGCTGTGTCTAAAATACAGATAGCCCTAATGATAGCCGATCTTAGGTAGGAGATAGCACCTCAAGAAGAAGATAACGTACAAAGAGAAAACGGCAGACTGAGCTTAAGTATGCGGCATTTCGCATACTGTTGGCACAAGTGTTACCCCCACTGAGCACTTCTAACATCTTCTACTGTATTTATTGTTCTGTACTTACAGCTTTCTCACTTTGAATTGGTCTTTTATTTGGTCACTTAATGATATTCTCGGTCTGCCCTCTGCCTTCTCTTTCCCGCTAAGTTCCCCTCAACAATATATCAACTCGAAAAACATTAAATTTACTTCCTACCTAACAGTCCATGGCTATTGCATTCAATTTGCAACAGTGAACGGGAAGATTAATTACGGATACGTTTTTGCAATGAGCGCTTACGTGTACGGAGTTGCAATTATGCGAAACTGTACAATTGCACTTTATATCTTGTATGTGTAGAATACAATACTACTTATAATTTTATTTACTGTTGGATTTGTGTGATAAAATTCAATGTTTTTGTAAAAACGAAATAAGTGCCCTCTGCATTTATATCACAGGTATGCTGAACAACATAAAAAGTTATTAATTGCAGTAAATAAATAAACAAAGTAAATTCTGTCTTACTTTAAATATTTTCCATAAATTGCATAAAACCTAGACCGATGGACGTCAACGATTCGATTTGCGGTAGGTCGAAGCACTATTAGCAAGCGAATTTAAAAAGAACTTTAAAGAAACATTTATGAAATTGCGAAGGAATTGAACATATGCAATTTAATATTCATAAACATAGCATGCGTGTGGTCGGAATTTTTAGTTTCCACATATCGTAGGTAGTACCAATAAAGAACATCTTACAAAAAGTACATAAGTAATACCCAGATAATACTAACATTAATATGCAGCAACTCAGTTCGTATTTGTCAAATGAATACGAAGAATCCGAAAGAATATTTGATATGCATTAAATAAAAAACTTGGCACGTTAACAAAATAATCCTTTGTTTTTTATTAGAAAAAGCGGTTGAAGTCAAAGGTACTCAATATGTTAGAGAATGTTGATGTAAATTTATGAAAGCTTAGAATAACTATTTCTAAGAAAACTATTTTACATTGCCTCGGCTTTGATGATTACAGAGCTCAAATTTTCTTGCCACAAAATATTATTCTGCTTTATTCGAGATGATGCGCTCTCCAAGCGACTGCTCTGTACTTGAAATTAATCGATTCATCATTCTGACCTGCTCTT